TCGCAGGGGGCGGTGGCCGCTCCGTGCTCCAGAGTGGCTCCCGATGCCGTGTGGGAATTGAGGGAGAAGCCCCATTATGGGACCTCCCCGGGAGCAGGCTGCTGGGCACGAGGAGGCAAACCTGGGGGGCAGCAAGGGTGGGCTCATGGTGACATTCCGGGAGGGAGAGCTCATGGTGGCGGAGAGGGAGGGCTCATGGTGGCAGTGAGGATGGGCTTGCAGTGGTGTTCCCGGGAGGGAGGGCAGGAAAGCTTCTCCCTTCTCCCCTCCCTGCTCTGCTCTCTGGACTGCTGCCCCGTTTCTAGCACTTCAGGATTAGACCCGTGCCTACAGTTCCCCTTTGGGAGAGGCTCCTCATGCCGTTCTCCATCCTCGGCGGTTGCTGCGGTGGCTTTTGGGGAGCTGAGAAGCTGGTGTGACAAGAGGGAATGCTGTGTGTCCGATGGGTGACGGCTCGCTCCGGAGCAGTTTGTGGATGGTGCCGAGGAGCTCCAGCCTCACGCGCCCGAGTGCTTGGGTGACTTTGGTGCTTGTCCTGCTCCTGCTTGGGCCCCCTTGGGTGCTGCTCAAAGTGTTTTTCTCTTGTCCCCCTTGGAAACTGGGCCATGGCAAAGTCATGGGAAGGGGTTTCCTTCTCTGGGGAAGCACGTGCCTGGTGAGCAGAGCTGGAGGCAGTTTCCACCAAGCTGGGAGCGCACTGGGGGGCTGGCACTGAACAGCGTTTGCAGGGAGCTCCTCCAGGGCTGGAGGTGGATTTTCCTTAGCAGTTGGTTTTCTTGAAGGACCTCTTGAGTTAGTGAGGACCCTCTGGTGCGCGGTGCTAGGAACGGGCAAGCCCTGCAGTAACTAGTCAACCGCTGTTGAGCTGGGATGGGCCGCTGGTAGCTCATGGCTTTCTTCGGATGCACCGTTTGCACGATAAAATCAGGACCAGGGTGCCCCTGGGGTCCAGCCATTTGCTGCGGAGCTGTTTGGTGTCACTGGAAGATGCTGGGCTTCAAGAGGTTTAAACTGTCTCGGTACAGGTTTTAAAACACTGACGAGCACCACGGAGGGATGTGGGGTAGAGCTGTTACCTCCAGGCATGGTGTGTGCCAAAAAAGGGGTCTGCGGTCGGGGCTGGGTCCCGTCGGTGGTGCTGCTGTAGCACCAGGGTGCCACCAGCCTGCACCCCGGTGGGATGGCCAAGGTGGCAGCTCCCGGTGAGGAGCAGACCCATGTGGGGTACCCACGGCTGCCTGGGCGAGTCCAGCCTCCTGTCTTCGCTGCAGCTCCTCAGCTTGGCCCCGCTGTGGGTGGCAGCGTGGTTCGGCAGCTCTGGGCTGTGCTGAATGCTCTGGGGAGGGGGATTAATCCGCTAATTGGATTTGCAGTTGGTTTGGGTAGATGCTTCCTGCAAACGTCAAAGGTCGTCGTGGTGTTCAATGCGTGGTCGGGGACCACCGGTGGCGGTGGCCGTGGTGCCTGATGTCTGCTGGGGACCAGCCAGAGCAGGGCGCAGAAAATACGAAGCTGAACCCCAGGGAATATTTGCCTGTGATGGGTGACTTGGTGTCCCTCTGCCCGTGGAGATGAGCTCCTGGGTGGGAGAGCAGCGGTGGCCTTGTTGGCTTGATCCTTTCAAAATTGGACTTAACGATGCGCTTAATGGCTTGCGGGTAACGACTTTGCGCTGGTGGAAGAATGGATGTCTTGGACCTGTGGCTCTGTTAATTTCCTTCCAGGAGAAATTGTTCCAGAAATTCAGGACTCTGCCTCCAAGCTGTGTAGCTCACTTAGGGCAGGACCCCGTAGGAACAGGCTTGCTAAGGGTGCAGAAAGACCTCGGAAAACCCCACTGCCTGCCTCCGAATGGGGCTCTCCCGCTGCCTGCGTTGCCCGTTCGCTGCCTTCAGATCTCTGAAGAGCAGCAGGCTGCCGTGGCGTAGCTCGTCCTCGCCAGCCTGTGTTTGGGTAAGGGATGGTGGAGGGTTGCCCAAACGAGCATCTGCGCAGCGCGCTGCCTGCCTGGCGTTGCTGACACGCAGCAGCTGCCTGGAACGTTTGGGTTCCACCTTCGTGGTGACACCTTCCCGGGATGCCGACCTGCTGCACGCCCAGGCACCGTGCCGGGGACCAGCTCCCGCAGGGGTGCCCCATCCTTTCAGGAGGGGCCACGGGTGCATCTGTGGGCTGGTTTCTCCCGTCCATCAGCACTGCTGTCTGCTCGGCAGGTTTTCGGAAGGGGCACAGCTTGTGGTGTGGCCAGACCCAGGTCTGGGAGGCGTTTGCATCCCCTCCTGGGACTGGCGTGGGGGATGGATCGGTGCAGGTACCCAGGTGAGCGTGAGGTCTGTGCAGTCGTGTGCTCCGGTCCTAGTTAATCCTGTGCCACCAATATAGCTGCTGCCCGAGCAGCTGGGCCCTAGGGTCTTGCTGGTCTGTACATCACGATATATCGCGACACAGATATATGATCTGTACGCACCCAGGGGGTGGCCGTTGGGCATTGCAGGTCACCCAGGTCTCTCATCCCTCCCTGGCAAAGGTGTCGGTGGCCACTGCTCAGCACATTACTGGGAACACGTGGTTGAACTCTCCTGAGCTGGGGCGCCTGGGGAAGCTGTTGCGTTTTTCTTTACCTTGTCTCTTGATAAATAAACAAAAAATGTCTTAAGCCTTGCCCAGCTGGGCTGAAGCGGAGGCTGCAAACAGGGCTGATGATTACAGTGCTGCCGAGTCGCTCAGTCGGTGCTGTGCTCTGGGGCTGGGGCAAGTGAAAGCTTTTTGAAGAGGAAATGAGATGAATCAGCGTGGGGAAGCCCATTGCTTCCCCGCAGCCGTATCCTTCCCCCTGCACATGCACGGATCTTCCCCCAGGTCGTCTCGCGATAGTCGGAGCGGGTCAAGTCGGAGCGGGTCAAGTCGGAGCCCCCTTGTCTGGATGAGGCGCTGGGCTGGGAAGTGCCTCTCTCCCTGGCTCAAGGGCTCGTCTGCGGGACGTGCTGTGTCGGTGAACTTGGATCAAGATGCGTTAATGCAAGGGAGGAGAAAAAATACTGCAGAAGCCTTCAGTAGCGTGCTTCTGCCTTAAATCCGGCTTCCTCAGCCCTTCGGCGTGCGGCATGACGTGGGGGCAGAGTTAGGGCCAGTCTGCGTCTATGGGGCGGGGGACGGCGGCCGCAGGGATGTACCGGAGCCACGGCCACAGGAGCTGGGGGTGGCCACGCTGGGGGTGGCCACGCTGGCCGCTGGTGGTCAGTGCTGCAGCTGGGTGCAAAATGGAAGGCGTGAAACCGGGCGGCGTGCGGTGCTGGAAGGGGAACTGCCAACCACTGGGCTGAGCGCCTGGCTCTGCCCCGTCCAGGGGGGCGCAGGATCTCATCCTGCAGCCATGCTTTGTTAGCGTGCACAAGGCTGATGCTCTCTGCCCCACCCCCTGCCAAAAAAAACAAACCCAAAGCGATGGAGCTCTCCTGCCCAGCCAGGTCTGGGAGGAGTGAAATGAGCGCCTGTGTTGGAGCAGTGCCTGGTGCAGGGACCTCCTGGCCCCTTCTCCTCCAGGCACCGGGTGCTTTTGCATCTCCACCTGCCCTGGGAAGGCGCTGGTGTGGGCACATCCCCTCCCTGGGTTCAGGTGCTTGCCTGGCATCAGAGGATCCAGCTAACAGCATTTAAAATTGCAATTCAAAATTGCAAAGCAGATTATTTTTTTTTCCCTTTTAGGCTTCGGGAGCTCAGCAATTTGCCTCGTTACTGTCTGGTGCTTTTTGCTCATCAGCGAGCTAACGCTCCTTTGCTGCCAGCTTGGTTGCTGCCCTTGCAGCACCGTTACCTTTCCTGGTCTCCCTTAACAAAAAGCAACTGGGAGAAGCCCAGCATGATGTCAAGCAGTGGAGGAGCTGAGCCCCTGGACTCCTTGTTTCGTCCTTTCATGCTCTTTATTTGGGATCTGGATCTCCAGAGCACGAGCGGGGTGGAGAGTGATGCCAACAGCGCTGCATCCTCCGTCTTACAGGAGCACGGAGCGATGCTGGCGAGGATGCGGTGCTGTTTGCTCGTCAAAGCGTCCCTGCTGCTGAGCTGGTGCCCGTGGCGGTGGGAGTTGGTGGCCGTGGGCCCTGGCAAAGCCCAGGAGCCAGCCATGGCTGCTGGCCACCGGCTCCCTTGCAAGACAGGCTGGGCTGCTTCAGCGTGTGCAAGCACCGGCGTGTTCTGGCACGGAGCGGTTTGGCTCCTCCGCCGAGGCGTTGTTTGGTGTTTTTATTAAAAATGGCTCCTATCTAGCTCGGGGGGAGGGGGGTGGAAATCCTTGGGCTCTGAAAACTCCAAAGCAAACCCCTGGGAGCAAGGTTCCCGCTGCTCTGCCTTCTGGAGGGGCAGCCGGCTCCTGCGCAGGGCTCGCGGTGCCGATCCCCATGGGAGGGATGGAGGGATGCGGCACAACCTGTTTGCCTGTTCCTGGCAGGGTGTGGCGGGGAAGGGCCCGCAATCGCCCCTATAGTTCTCCCAGAGCGATACTGTGAGTCAGGCAGACGTAAATAGCAACTCCTCCTCCCCTGTTTGCCCTTTGCAGCCTGCGGGAAGGGGTGTGAGCCCGGCACGGGTGGGTGAAGCCCTGGCTCCGCAGCCCTGCCCTTCCCTGCCTCTGGGCTCCGGTGAACCCCCTCGACCTTGGCTTTCCTGACCCATCCTGTAGGATGTGCGTTTGGGCAGCAAGGCTGGGCAATTTGCACCGTGCCCCACGCTCTCGCCCTGTTCTCTGCCCCGGCGTTACTGCCTCTCTGACCAACACCACGGGTAGGTGATGCAAAACGCCCCTGGCGTGGGCGGCCGTGCCGCTGCTGCGGTCCCAGCCCTGCCGCCGAGCTCTGCTAACGCCGTGCGGTGGCTGCCGTCAGCACGATGCTGCGGCTCCTCTCCCGAGCCAGGGTTTGGAATAGTCAGGCTTTCCAACCACCCCGGCGTCTCCCAGGCACAGTTTAACTTCTTCCCTGCTGCCACGCTGAGTTAGGCGGGGTGGTTCCGGGGTGAAATGGCTGCGAACGCCTAACGAGGTCTGCAGGGTTTTTTGTGCGGGGGCGAAGCAGCTCGCGGCGTGGAGGTGTCGGGGTATCGGAGATGCTGCGCAGGAATTCGCACAGCGCTGCAGCTGCTATTTAGGGGATTCGCTTCAAATCCCGCTGCTGCCCCGCGTGGGCTCCCGTGGCCTCTGCCATCGCCGGGAAGCATGGTGCCGATTCTTTTGGAGCCAGGGGGAGAGGCTCCAGAGGAAACTCTCGTGCCTCCGCAGCCCAGCGCCAGGCAGGCATCCAGCCGCCTTCGGCGCCGCGCCGGCCGCAGCGTGGTGCTCACCTTTTGGCGCTGGGCTGGCCGTGCCGTATGGCCGGTGGGGCAGCGGGCACAGGGGGACGGCAGCGTCCCCTCGCCCAGGCTGGGGCGCAGAGCGCTTACGGCGGGGATGCTGTGCTGGGCGGGGAAGGCTCCGCACCGCTGCTCGCTTTGATGTGGGGCTGAAACGCCCCGTGCGCCTGCCGCGGGAAGAGCCAAGGGGCGGCGGTGGAGGAGAAAGCCTGAACAAAAAGATGTTTCTCTGCTGGGAGAAGCACCGGCACCTCCCCGGCTGCTGGGAGCTGCTTAATTCCCTGGGTGAGGAATGCGGCGGGGGCAGAGCCCTGTTGGCCCGGTGCAGGGGTCTGAGTGTACCCGGTGCTGGATTTGGGGATATGTGCGTTATTTCTGAGCACCCTGGTCCCCGCTCTGCGGGTGGGTTGGGAGCTCAGCAGCGGTGGCCAGACCTGCGCTGGCTTCCCTAGCCAGGGTTTCCACGCTGGCCAAATGGGAAGCCCAAAGGAGAGGGGGTGGTGCAAGCTTTGGAAATAATAAGCGAGCCCTGGCATTGATAGACTCTTAAAAAAGCGACCTCAGCCAAGCGACGGCGCTACGTCATCGCCTCCTTGCAGTGGGAACTCGTGCACTTCCCAGGATTGAGCTGTCGCAGCCCAACCGGAGAGCAATTTCCTGGCGGTCTCCTGGTGGTGACCCCTTGCCCGGACCTCCCCGTTCATGCGTGAAGCTCTTCACCGCAGCCGTGCGCCATCGCCGCGGCCGGCTGCCTGCT